TTTGTGAGTGTTTGTTTCGCGTGACTGCTAAAGCATATGTGTGCTACTATGCTAATCACCTAGGGGACCTACGTCCATAAGTCATAACTGACAGTAATGAGGATTAATGCCTCACTAACGGGCATTAATATAGCTGATCGGCACGGTTTCGATCATGGGTCCTCAACGTAACGAGGCCATTGCTTAGCCACTGAACCATGACTGTACGTAGCGGGGGCTAGGGTACGGGGCCGCCCCCACAAATACAACAAAACAAAGAAAATACAATTAATGATCAATAATTCATTGCGTTTTCCCCCGGTCCTCAACAGGACAAATTCGTCTGTAGGGCCATGCATTATGGTTCAAAGAGTGGCCACACAGAGGAATTTTGTCTATTGGGGATCAGGGCAAAATGCAATGAAATATTGATAATTTACTGCATTTTCTTTTTTTTTGTATTTGTGGGGGCGGCCCGTCCATAAATTGGGGTAAACAACATTATTCTACAATTATGGCCAACAGTGTATAATGAATATTGCCTTACATCTTAAACATACACGAGCGCAGCCTCTCCCCTATTTCTCTCTCTCTCTCTCTCCCTCCCTCTCTCTCTTTATATGTACAATATATACATCATATTCCAAAGAGATGAAACATCTATTCTGTTCCTCTCTTTCCGCCCACCTTCCCTTCATTGTTCCATCTCTAACCTTCCAATCAAATCAAATTTATCTAATAATTACCCAATTAGAATTCCTCGGTGAACGATCGAGGGGTGCCACTGTAGAACAACGCGCTACTAAATGTATTAAATGATTAACCATCTAGTATTGACAGGAATGCATGAGACCGAGTTGGTTCTCTATTTCCAATTTGCACATGCATGCACACACACACACACACACACACACACACACACACATCTATTCACTCCCATGTACACAGTATATACAAAAACAAAAATTAGTGGCCACTTTTAGAAACATTCAAACCAGAAAGAGATAAATCCATAGAAGGTTCATGCGACTAAAAAACGTTTTGAAAAACAACCTTTTCTCTCGCCGAAGAAAGAGACACATTGTTCAAATAAACGGACTTACTATTTTAATCAGTCTGTTTTACCCCCAAAAATATGATTAACGTTTAACTAAGCACGATGAAGAAGATAAGGTCAATGCCATTGTCACCAACCGTAACTTGACTCCAACGAATAGTCATCCTCAAAATTAAATGAGGCATTTGAGAGTATTACCATACCATCGACGTGTTGAAAAAAAACTAGTTTAAAAAATCAACATAAGGGCAATTTCAAATACCCTATTGTATGTCCCATGGAAATCATGTTCAGAAGATGACGTACAAGACCATTGGAACTGCCTTATTGAGTTGATTTGTTGAAAGTAGTTGTGATTTTGTTATTGAAAGAAGATGAGACGACCCCCTCCCAAATTCGATGGCATTGTCAATTTGAATGTCTTCCTCTTGAATCCCCCCTCCCCTCCCTCCCTCCCATGATGCCAGAGCTCCTATGAATCCACGCTACGCCATTGTACTAACAGAGAGAATATAGAAGGTTTTGTTTGTTTGTTTGTTTGTTTGTTATTTGTTGTTTTGGGGGTGTCATAAAATCCTGCTTATTTACTCGTACATGTCGTTAATCCAGCCAAACGCGAACACCTACAGCACAATATAATTTTGCCTTTGGTTTTCATTATTCAAGCAATATCTTAAAAGAATCTTCAAAATAGAGCAATTACTCTAAATGATATTGGTAAACATGTCATTGTTGCCGAGCACCAATGAGTCAGACCGTGTCAGACGTAGATGTATGTTCTTCAACTCATTTCTCTTAAAGGAAAAGACCAGTTATGGTCATGCGATTGCATTGTGAAAGAAACGTTGTGGAATCGATCAGAAAAGGTTGATCATCTAGCATCTAGCATCTGCAAGGTTCTGAAATCATCAAAATGATAAGAAATTTGGCCCATTCTTCGTAAAGTTACAAGCACTATACACAGAAAGATGTATATGGGACTACCCTATATCTCTCACAGACCATGAGAGAAAAAAATTTACCAAATATATGAATTAGTAGGCGGTTTCCCGGCAAATTTTTTATCATCATGTATTAGTCAAAACATATTCTTTCACATGATTGGTAATGAGAGCTTCCATTTCATTTTTTGAAATTGGGGCGTTTCCAATACTGGTCTTTACCTTTAAAATCTCCGTTATATCCCCCTTCTCTTTCTCTCTCTCTCTCTCCCTCTCTCTTCTCATTCTGTCTTATCTATATCTTTCTTTTTATCTCTCTCTACTACTATACTTTAGTTGGGGAGTGGCACTTTATGCCGGTTTAAAAGTTAATCACCGACTACTCACTTTAAAACATGATCAACACACTTGTTACGAAATGACGGGGGTTGGTGTGCCATATTGTACACAAGATCAATGCAAAACGTAAGAAGGTAAAGACTGCGTTGATTTACTGACGTATGGGCTAATCGCTATTAAAGCAAATTCATTGGTGTCATTTTGATTGCGTCATTGCATGTGCTAATTGAGTCTTTGTCGGAAATTCAGTGCACGCCCCAGCAATTCAACGCACTGTTCATTTTGCACGTTACGAACGATGTCACTCTGACGTAAGAATTTAAAGGCCGTGTTAGCTGTTGACGTAACTGTACGTCAGATAATTGACGCTTCGTGCGTAACGGGCGTAAGATGCTGCTGTCTTTGACCTCTGTTAATAAGGTATATGGAACCAACTCTGGTTTTGCATGCAGTAGACTCGAAGAGGTTAAGCTTATTATGTCAGATCAATAGAATATTTATTGAGATCGCTAGGGTCTTTTAATTTTGTTTAATCGGTTTAGAGAAAAGGTCATCTGTTCGGTCTTTGCGTTAATGCTGTATACTAAAATAGAAAACGTTGATAGGGAATTATAGAGGCATAGTGTCTTTAGGTTTACTGAGAATCTTCGATTGCCTTTCGAGCAATTACTTTAGACAGTGGTAATTTTCTGGTAGATACGAAAGAATGCGAAGTAGAAAAATCAACTGAAATTTATTGTTTTATTAAATGACGGATTTTGAATCTATACAAATCTCACTATTCAAAGACTGCAAAAAAATTAAAGGTTATTTTTCCAATTCATTTTTTTTGCCAGTGTTCTCGCAAATCAATTGATGCCCGAATTTAATGTGTACGTGAAATAAAGCACAACCCACGACAGCACAATCAGCGAAAGAGCAAGAGAGAGAAAGAAGAGCAAGAAAACGAAAGAGTGAGATAGTGTGTGCGCGCATGTATGTGTGCGTGTGTGTGAGAGAGAGAGAGAGGGAGGGAAAGAGAGAGGGGAGAGAGAGAGAGAGAGAAGGGAGGAGAGAGAGAGAGAGGGGGAGAGAGAGAGAGAGAGAGAGAGAGGCGAGAGGAGAGAAGAGGGAGGAGAGAGGGGAGATAAAGGGATAAAGAGGGAGAGAGAGAGAACGAAAAGGTGGGAAGGTGTGGTTACACCCCAATGCTCTGCACATTCGTTTGCTTAATAGCCACAATATAAATGTATTTAGAGAACATAACATACATATTTCCAAAGGTGGATCCACACACGAAGAGGGGGAGCAGGTGAAGGGGGAGCGGGAGCGGGAGTTGGAGCGTGTACAAATCCCCTGATGAAACTAAATTTCTGGCACACCTTAGGTTCACCTTTCTTTAATTTTAAATTGCCATTTCATTCTGCCCTCCTCCAGTACAAGATTATAGCGCCCTAATGTTGTCCTTTCCTTTTCTTTTCAAATATTCTTGAACTTTTATTTATTTCTCAACTTTTCTCCGATGAACTAAAAATCTTTATAACTTATGAGGCCTTTTCTTTCAAACATTAGTACATGTTGTATGATCTTACGTCAACACTAACATTCAACGTTCATTCTAAGCACAATGATTATAAAAGACTATCATTCATCTTTTAAATATCCCCTTATTTCGTTTAAAGGTAATACAAAGTTTTGGGAATTTTCGAAAATTGGGTGGTGGTGATTCTTTTCAATTTTTATATATTTGGATACCCCTGTGGATGTAATATAAGCACTAGAAAATTTAACCCCTCAAACACTTCTGCTTTCGAGAAAAATTGAATATAAAAATTTACCGGTGCTCCCGGTAAATTCTGATAAATTTCAAATAGTGCCGTACGGCCGTACAATGGTAGCTGCGACCATAAACATTTCAGAATATGTAGTTGTGATATATAATTTCCAAATGGGAATAGTTAATCGGTCGATATTAGTCAAGAAACATTGTTTTATAGCTTAATTAATATATTGACCTTGAGAGGGAGCTATACAACATAAAGAGTTTATTATTTATAATTTCATAACTTTAGAATCGATTTCAACCGCGACAACGATCACTGAATATTGTAGGGTCACATATGCTTCTAATATGTTCATTTGAACCAAATTCACGACCCCATACCAAAACTTTGTATAACCTTTAAGTCGGCCTTTTTCATATTTCTCTTTTCTATATGTTTTTGTCCGATGATTCAAAATATAAAGTATAGATCTACATCATTTGAATTATAGACGTTTGTTGTATATTTATTGGCATTAAAAAAGAAATTAATTAAAATTCTCTTTGACATAAACCTGTTTCAGAATGTTATGTTTCCTTTAAGCATTGCATGCTCATGCTAAATCCCTGAGCAGTTCAATTGACGTTATGTCTGATTTTACATGTTGTAACTATTAATGGTGTTCTGATATTTGTCTTCACTTTCATAAAATGGTAGAATTCATTCGCATTTTGAGTAAAACCAACAGTGAATATTCGTTTAATAGTCATAAGCGCAGTGCAGTCAACAATAATTATATACCATACCACACCAAGTAAAATCTTGACCATTCCTTATGATAAACTCATTGTTAGACTAATCATGATGCTATTCGTCTGGGTTGCTTTTTGTTTACATCAAAACATAACTTCATGAACAAAATTATTTATATTGCTTTCTTACCGTTTGAAATCTTTACGCCAAGAAGCGCGTCGACGAGGAGTTCATCGGTATGTCGAGCAAAAACGTCCAGGATTCTTTCTATGCCGACCAGAAGTCTGCGCGAGAGCGTCGCCGTCTCCAACCACCAGAAAATCCAGCTGCGGAAAGCCTTGCTAACTCGCGTATCGGACTGCGGATCAGCGGCATGGTTACTAAACTCTTTGACGTCGTCATTGGGAATCTGGTTGATCTCGTAAAAATCAGCGTCGACGACTTGGAAGTTGATCAGTGAGACTGAAATAACAGTGAGCAAAAAAACCCACAACGTCCTGGTTTGAGCCATGGTTTGTTCTGTTACTTCGTATTCAAGTTCTATCTTATTGTGTGTGAGTGTGCACCGCACAAGAGCTTATCGAAAAGTAGAGCGAAATTCGCGCGCGGTTGAACACACGTCACTTTCTTAGTTTAAATAAGGATATTCATCGTTAGGATGTTTTGTCTTTGTATGTGTCACCAGACAATATGGATAAACTATGGATATGACTGACAAAGAAAGCGGACAAAATATACAGTTCCTCGGGTAGACAAAGGAACATCCCTTCACTGCTATTATGTAAAAATGTGTAGAACAGGTGTCACATGCATATTCACCTTTTTACATAATAGCAGTGAAGGGATATTCCTTTGTCTACCCGAGGAACTGTATATTTTGTCCGCTTTCTTTGTCAGTCATGTTCACAGTGTTATAGTTCCCCGTCAGTGCGATAAAATGATAGATTTGATCGGCAGCATAGGGAGATTATTTTGAAATATTTATTTGGGTTGGGAAGGAGAGGGGACAGTCAATTCAAATTATAAGACATAAATCTAATCATGAGATGTCGTCCCTGCTTTTATGTTTGATAGATGATGCTCAAACTTGTTCTGATTGGAAAGTAACTTATTTTTCGATAGGACTTGCCTTTTAATAGGAAGGGTCAATTTTCTGGTGGACTAACTTATTGCTTCGGTCAATTTTCAAAGGAAAATTGGTTTTTAACCAGTGATTTTCCAGTATTTTCCAAATTGTTGCATATAGATATTATCACTATCCCGGATTCTTGATTTCATTTTACAACAATCCAATAATGTTTGCTTATTTCTTATCATTCCAAAGCCATACTACTAGTACTACAGGGAGGATATCAACAATTTCATATCAGAGGGAAGCAATTCTGGGATTACTTTACTCTTAACGCCTCTAGACCACTATAAACCGATTGCAAGCCAATAAATTAAACAAAATTTATATAAAAAGGAAAAATAAAAACATTAAAAAGAAAGAAATTAAAGCAGAAAAGAGAGAAACAGAAGTCAACTTTCGTTGCTTTCTATTTACCCCTATACCGTTTGCTTTCGTAATGATTTCGTTGGTTTTTATCACGTGGTACATCGTCACTCCATCATTACGGTACAGTTTGTAAGGCTTACATGTACATGCCATATGTGTTTTCTTTTAGCGTCTATCCGAACGAAACTTAATTAAATAACAAAATAATTATAAAGCCCAGTCCATTTCCAGGTGTTATCTGTGAAGGTAATCAAGATAAGGAAAATCACGTTTGTATCATGACATGGATTCGACATTTGAACGATCAAAATTGCTGAAATTTCATGTCCTGAATATTTGTTTTGATGCGAAAGTATTTGTTATAATGATAAGCGAAGCATATCAAACATATCAGAAGTTTGTACATGCATTCTTTATCAACTGCATTCGTTATATATTTATACGTTATATGATGCACTTTATCATTGTCTATTATGTCCCTAGACGTCCAATTAATTTTTTTTTTTTTTTTTAATGGGACGAAGATAAATCGAAATTTTACGAAGTCGGCATAAACGTGTCCTTCGTTCACTCATCAAATTTAGAGGATTAGACAACGAAAATTTAGGTGATTTACCAATATCTTAGGTAGACCAACTTGTTTAAAACCTTTTGATAATCCAAGAGAGGATTCAGACTCTGTAAAGGGGGGGGGGGGGGTATGAACAGTTCCGAATTTGAAGGGGCACACAAACTCAGCTATTGGCTCATTTTTCTTTGCGTATTTAATGTTTTGAACTTAACCGCCTCTCTACCAGAGAATATTGTGTTCAGAGAACATCAAAGACAGCAACAAAATATTCAGTAAAGTGTAGAAACCCTAGTTATCAGTAAGAAATACACAGTGCCTAGGCTATAGGCTAAACAAATCAGTGTGATCTTTTTTCTTTTTTTCTCAACCAAGTTTCACAGAAGAGACAAGAGGGGGCGTTGTATAAAAGAAAAACAAGGACCGACAGAGCTAGCTCTATTTTGTGAAATGGAAAGTCTTTTTGTTTTCACTTAGCAATTAAAACGAATAGGTGCATTTAGATATTTATTGCAATATACTTTATTTTTGAAAGTATTTATCAATCACTAAGTAGAGTGCTCCACGACATGCAATTAATTTCCCAGTATTAAAAAATAACGAAAAATGACAGGAAAAAATGTGAATAGGAGGTATTATATTATATATAATGTGGCAGGCAAATAACAAGTTTCGTTTATTTTAAAACTTCAAGAATCTACTGATCCGTAGGCGAGGGCTTATCAATGCGTAATAATTCTACTAATGATAATGTGTCCTGTTTACCCAGGGTAGCCTCATCAGTATAAATTAATACTGATGAGGCTACCCTGGGTAAACTGTTCTCCCTGAGCCTACCTGCAAGGGTGCAATCATATAATTATCCCGGCCTTTTAATAGCCAATCTACCATGAAACGAATAACGCAATGAGCTGTTGATAACTCTCTTTCTTCGCGCATTATTGCAATTGGCATATTAATACGGTCAATTACAAGCAATATAATCAGCTAACAATAACCCGTGACAAATTCTTTTTTCATCAGCCCGCTTTACCCCAATCCAATTACTTCACCATGCTCATTGTGTAATAAAACTGAATTTCAAAATATTGCAATTATTGGCGTAGTCTGGAGTGTGGATGGATATCAATTACATACCATCTTCAAAAGTGATGAGAATTCTTTTTTTTAATAGAAATGATATCAAATAGATAATGGCTAACACTTTGAGTTTAAAGGTACTATGTCCAATTTGCTGGCCAAAAATGATGAAAAGGTTAAATTCCAACGGCATTGGAAAGATAATAATAATTTAGAACTTCCCTAAAAAAGGGGGCTTGAAAATGTCTTTAAGTGGGAAAATAATGACTATTAGTTGTCGAATCGACTTTAGTGCTACCAAGTCAGTAAGTAATAGTCTGATTATCAGAATATTGTACCGAATAGTCGTACGTTTTGTGCTGCGCAAAGATTCAATCAGTTTGATTTTGGCCATTACAACAAGTAACAAGTACCTTTTACAGCTCATGTTATGTATGTTATTACCAAAGAAAGAAAAAAAGCCAGTCAGTCACTCAATAGTGTCTGATAGTGAAGTCTAGCAAGTAAACTGGTTTCCTTGCATAATTTGAATATGACACTGCTAACGTTTGAATTTCACAGATAGGACATACATGAAATATTCATAATTCCTGCAAAGTTCTACGTAATTTGATGTTGGCTGCAAAAGGGACATAGTATCTTTAAGGGGCGGTTTTCGTCTTTGTTTTTTTCGTTTTTATTTTGTTTTGTTTTGTTTTTGTGTTTTATTTTGTCTTTTCGTGATAACGTCCCTGAAATTGGAGACAATGCCTAAATGTGCAGACTAAAGTATAACATATTGTATCTCCATACCCATGAAAGGAAAATGCGTACTCCTCACACGCCGTCTCTGGGTTTCCACCGTCTAAAGTACTCGCACACCATCCTCATCATTTAATTGGTTTTTCAGTCCAATGAGGAAAGAACAACCACCGCCTGTCTGGGAACAAGTATTTTGATCTACATTGCAACATGTTTTTGGCGGAGCGAACAAGATAGCAAGTATTCAGTTGAGTGATAACTCTATATATTCAGAGGTAAGACAACCTTTTGAAACTTTTTAACGTTTTAGTAGTAGTAGTAGAATGTTTTTTATTAGACAACTTCAAAATGGTAGCCCGAAAGCTAAATTACATTGCAAGTTTTACATGTATTAAAAAGCATTTCAACAAACTTAGATTTGGGAGTATTATTAGTAGTAGCAGTAGTAGTTGCTGTTGTTGTTCCTGTTGTTGTTGTTGTTGTTGTAGGAGAAGAAGTAGAAGTAGTAGTAATAGTTATAAGAGGAGGAGTATAGTAGTAGAAGGAGGAGTAGTAGAATGAGGAGTAGTAGAAGGAGGAGTATAGTAGAAGTAGAAGTAGAGGTAGGAGTAGTATAGTAGTGTTAATAGTAGTATTAGTAGTAGAAGTATTAGTAGTAGAAGTAGTAGCAGCAGCAGTAGTAGTAGTAGTAGTAGTAGTAGTAGTAGTAGTAGTAGTAGTAGTAGAAGCAGAGAAGCAGAGGTAGTTGTGGTAGTAGTAATATAGTAGTAGTTGTTGTTGTCGTTATCATTGTTGTTGCTACTGTTGTTGTTGTTGTTGTTGTTGTTGTAGGAGGAAGAAGAGAAGAAGAAGAAGAGTCATCGTTGTCGTAGTCGTAGTATTAGGAGTGGTTGTTAGTGTTATTGTAGCAGTAGTATTACAAATTGGTAGTGGAAGGATTAACGCTTACCTTGAACTGAGCCTTAAACTTAGTTGTATTATATAAACGTGACCCTGAAATCTCTGAAGAAATAATGCCCGGATAGTTGTCCCTGGAACATCATGTCGGATCACCCAGTTATCGCTGGAGCAAATGCTACCTGAACAATTATTGCCGGGGGGCAATTGACGCTTCTTTAGATGGGTTTATATAAACAATTTAGGATTCAATCAATTGTGATTATCATTGGAGAGGTGTTGTGGTCTAGTGGATAAGTCAACCGACTGCAGATCACAAGGTACGGGGTTCAAATCCCAGCCCGACACTAACGTCCTTTGGCAAGGCGTTAATCTACATACACTGTATGCCACTCTCCACCCAGGTGTTAAATGGTTACCCGGTAGCATGCGAAAGTTAATGTAGTGTGCTCAGCATTGTGAGCGTCTGGCTGGAATGCTCCCCAGGGAGTGGAGAAAATGCATACATTGTGTGCGGGCAAGCCTGAATCCAATGACCGGGGTAATAATATATCGGTAAAGCGCTTACAGACATCGTTGATGTATTAAGCGCTGTATAAAAGCGGAATATTATTGTTGTTTCACGAACATTGATTATTGTCGCATAACCAACCCAACCTCGCCGTCCCCTTCCCCATTTTTTAAAATGAACACCGCATCCGCCACTGGCAACTTACGATACGTTCTTTTCATAGCAACATAAATATTCCAATTCGGAAATAAATGCTGTCTAGGTTGAATATTTACTTTAATATTTAGTGATATGCCATGTCCTTTGCTAAAAGGTTGTCAATTTCCTGCCAATTACATCAATTACCGTCGCCATTGTGATAGTGATTGTGTTTCTCTCATATTCTGATATTGCGATGTATAAAAATGTAAAAATAAAAAGCGAATGGCCATGAACCATACGCGCCTAATAATCTTTTGCGTTACCTTGCTCAATGCTATACAAATTAAGTTTGTATGTCTCTTATAGTTCAGGCTAATAACATTTTGCATTATTTTTTTCTCTGTGATTTCTTTACTTAGTTTTATCTTTGGATATTTCAATTTTACAATATGCCTATCTTGTATATTTTACATAATGTATATATCTTCTCTGTGAACTAGTGTTTGAGTTGAGGAGTAGGTCGATAATTGAAAATAATATTTCATAGAATTTCTCATCTGACTGTTCTAGCTATGATAGTAAAATGAATCTAAAAAGGCAAGAAGCTTTCATTTAAATTAAACGGATTCAATCAGCGTTTGCTATTATTTCAAAATTTCAGAATTACTCCAAATGGCGATGTTCATGTGGATCTCCATCATTTCCTTGTTGGCAGGTAAGATACATGTTTTATTTAGACATCTTATATTTTCTAGAAATTCGAGAAATTAGAAGCCAGAGAACTTAGAATCAAAGAGAGATAAAAGCCTTAACGATTAAAACGAAGTTAGGACTAGGATAAAATTCATTACATTCATTACTTCATATTTTTGTTTTCTCTTAATTAAAAAAAAACATAATTTATAACATTTAATACAAAATTACAAATAATTTTCACATAGGTCTAAATCAATTTGCAAGTGAAGTTTAACATTCCACAGTCAAGGTTAAAAATAAATCTTCATATATAAAATATATTTGCAAATGTCAGGGCTACTATTACTTGATTTCCTTATCTTTCTATGCTCATTACTCAGCCAGTATACATTTTCTACCAAAATTGTTTGGAAAATGACATTTATTAGTTATCCTGAACACTCAGTGTAAGTTTCGTTTGATTCTGTGAAAATTCTTTTTATTTTTTTTACCATTTTTTTAAATCATTTACAAAAGATAAATATTCACATAAACAAAATTATAGTTTCACATTTTAACCAAATCGCACATCATAGCTACAATTTCCTCGACCAGCTTGCATATAAATTCCCAATTATTTCTTTTCTTTTCCACAATAATTGTTCAAATTTTCCTTCAGAGAGAAATAGATAGCGATACGATGAATGCTGATAGTTTAACGCATGGAAAAATACTTCTGCCATAAATTGGGTCCCGACGCCTTTCCGCTTGACCTGCGCAATCTCGTCCAATTTTGATAATGGGCATTCAACGCGTAAAACATCTAGGGCTTGTCGATTTTATGGAGAAAGATAAATATCCCTAAATTATTTATACTCTTTGTAAAGTTGATGTTTTATGTATTTTTCGTTTCTCAAAAATAATAGGTTGACTCCTTGAATAAGACCCGTTGTTCAAGCGCGTACATATCACTTACAGAGCAGGCGAGGCGCGTTCCCTAGGGAAGGGAGTCCTCCCCCCCCCCCCCCCCCGTTTCATTAAATTATTAGAAAAAGAAGACGATTCGTTGTACCGTTCTCGCCTCTTAATCCTTGCTTCAATTCAGTTTCCCCCCTCCCGCGCAAGGTTTGACGTTTATTGTTAGAGAATGAGACGATTTGTTGTACCATTCTTGCCTCTTAATTCTTGTCTGAATTTTTCCCCCTTCCGCGCGAAGCGTGGAAGCTTTGACGGTTTGTTGTACCGTTCTCGCCTCTTAATCCTTGTCTAAATTCAGCCCCCCTCCCCCACTCCCGCGCGAAGCTCGGAATCTTTGACGTTTCATTTAATTATTAGAGAAAGAAGACGATTCGTTGTACCGTTATCGACTCTTATACTCCTTACTCTTTGTCTGCTCGTTTTTCTTCCCCTTTTCTCTTCTCTCTCTCTCTCTCTCTCTCTCTCTCCTTCTTTTTGGCCGGCGGTTTTTTTTTTTCGTTGTTGGGGGGGGGGGGGCGACAGCTTCCACTGCCCCCCCCCTTCCCGGCTACGCGCCTGCCTTTGTTGAATCTTTAACATGTAAGCTCTCATACGTCACATTCCAAAGAAACACAAATCAATTTTCACATAACTAAACAATTAAAAAACTTAGTAAGGGTATGAATATTTTACTTCTTAACTTTATATATCTAGGCAGTATATTCGACAGAAAAAATGTTAACATATATTTGATCCTCTATCGTCCAACTTTGCTGGCACAAGCCCTTGTGTAACTGAGTGTCTGTACTGTAAGACTATTCATATTTTACGGTCTACTGCACTCCATAGGTCCTCTAGCTGTTTGACACAGCCAGTGTCTGACAAAATTAGGCAAGGTTCAAGATTTAATAGAGTTGTGCTTATGTGCTATATGTAATAAAGAGTCTATGCATGTATACTATTAAACATTTTCTGGTGCCCTGCACACAAAGCCTCTTGACCAATACTATTAACTATCCACATGTCTTTTAAAACAAGCAGTTATATGGTTATGAACGTCATCAATAGAAGGAATGGTAATAAGCGCTTATAATGTACATGCATTAATGGTAAAATTCAATCGCAATATTCAATTATTGATTTGAAATGTGGTAGTTCATTGTTCGTATGTCTCGCAATACCGATTATGTCACCATGATAAAAGCCCCCCCCCCCCCCCTCCCCCCCCCCCCCCCCCCAACTCCGGGAACGGAGGGATCGCATTCATGTTCCCAATATCTCCGGTAAAGGGGTACTTTTCACGCACCAAAGACCGGCTCGTAATACACAACAAAATCGGCCCGTATTGACTTTACACACCGGACTGAGGGGGTGCTTTCAAAGGGCGGGAACATGCATACGCGTACCCTAAATAACACTGAGTAGGGGGGGGGGGAGGTAAAAGCGAGCACTGCATTTTAATCAATCAAGGGTCTGCTGGTCTCAATGAATAGGGACTTTTAGATTTGCACGAAGACAATGTGGATTGCTACGGTCGACGTCCTTTTAATGCACTGCCTTGAATGGACGTCACACGTATCAGTCCACGCAAATCTAAAAGTCCCTAATGACGATATTGCTGGTCCTCCTACCAATTATATTGTTTGCACCATAATGACATGAGAGAAATTGATGTATTGTGACGAATTGATGGTCATATGAATGATGGATCAGGGTGAGCGTTGGACCGTTTCAAATTTGCTAACGAGATAGCTTAAACCTTTTCCACCGGGCAAAGTGAGTTGCGAATTTTCAAATGGATTCGATATATGGATACACATGACCAAAAAACTAATTAGAACAAATAAACGTCAAATGACTTTAGGCTGAAGTGCGTTTTAACAGTGATTCAATCAAGATAAGTACTTTATTTAAATTGAATTGAAAGAGAGAGAAAGAAAGAAAATGAAGGGGGTAATGGGACAAGAGAGAGAAACAAAGACAGCGAGAACGATATTAATGGGAGAGAGAGAGAGAGAGACAGAGAGAGAGTGCGAAAAGGGAAGAGAAGGAGAGCGACAATGAGAGAGAGATAGAAAAAGACGACGATGAGCATAAACGTGTTAGAGGAGGAGGCAATGGGGGCGTGTTCCGGGATGAATTCCACCAGTGAGGGTAGATTCATAGAGGTTATAGTAATTGGAGTATTCGTTGGTGTGGGGGGGGGGGGTAGGCGGTAGTCATCCTAAGAAGTCAAAAAAGTAGTATGTTCTGAACAAGGGTGTCGATTTGTATCCGTGGCTGGGGGGATGATAGGTGCCAAAATATTTTCGGCAATGGATCAAAGCAATCAAGAGGTAGAAGCGTGTGGCAAGTTGCACCCCTCCCAAGCGCGTAGCCAGGATTTCATTTTAGGAGGCGGTAGTGAGCACGCGAAGCGCGGTCCCTAGGGGGTTGTGTGCAGGGAGGGGAGTTCCCCCCCCCCCCGCGAAGCGCGGAAGCTTTGACGTTTCACTAAATTATTAGAGAAAGAAGACGATTCGTTGGACCGTTCTCGACTCTTAATCCTTGTTTGAATCAAGTTCCCCTTCCTCCGCGCATAGCGCGGAGCCCTGACGTGTCATTAGATTATTAAAGACAGAAGACGATTCGATGTACCATTCTCAACTCTTAATCCTTGTCTGAATTCATTTTCGCCCATTCCTGCGCGAAGCGCGGAAGCTTTCACATTTGAGAAAGAAGACGATTTGTTGTATCGTGTCCTTCATGAATTCAGTTTCTCCCCTACCGCGCAAAGCGCGGAAGCTTTTACGTTTCACTAAATTATAAGAGAAAGAAGACGATTCGTTGGACCGTTCTCGACTCTTAATCCTTGTTTGAATCAAGTTTCCCTTCCTCCGCGCGTAGCGCGGAAGCTCTGACGTTTCATCAGATTATTAAAGAAAGAAGACGATTCGATGTACCATTCTCGACTCTTAATCCTTAATGTTTGAATCAAATTCCCCCTTCCCCACGCGTAGCGCGGAAGCTCTGATGTTTCATTAGATGATTAAAGAAAAAAGACGATCCTATGTACCATTCTCGACTCTTAATCCTTGTCTGAATTTATTTTTGTCCATTCCTGCGCGAAGCGCGGAAGCTTTCACATTAGTGAAAGAAGACGATTTTTTTGTATCGTGTCCTTCATGAACTCAGTTCCCCCCCCCCCCCCTACCGCGCGAAGCGCGGAAGCTTTAACGTTTAAATAAATTATTACTCTTAATCCTTGTCTGTATTCATTTTCGCCCATTCCGCGCTTAGCGCGTAAACTTTCACGTTTCATTAAATTATTCGTAAAAGAAGACGCTTCGTTGTATCGTGTACTTTGACGTTTCATTTGATTATTACGCTTAATCCACGTCTGAATTCAGTTGCCCCCTAACAGCTTTGCCCTTTTCACTGAATTATTAGAGAAAGAAGACGACTCGTTGTACTGTTCTCTATATTAATCCTTGTCTGAATTCAGTTTCCCCACTGAAAATAATTTGTGTTACAAATAAGTTGTGACATAATAATCTTTCTCCAAAAATGAAAAATCTTTTAGGAAATATCAGGAAATAAAATGAGTGAAAAAAACAAAAACAAAGATACAATGACGTGAATTTTAAAAAGGGTGAACGGAAACAACATAACAATTAGAGAACTTTTTTATAAGTCATACTAATGTCCGAAAATCTTTTTCCTTGTCTCCGATCTCATCACGAAATCGTCACAGAGTTCATCTATGTTTACACTGTCCAGGATTGTCTGATGTGCATTGCAGATTGCTATTTTTGCGCTTCGCGCTTAACATTTAGCTCGTTGCTTTTTGACGCTGCGTCTTTGCATTTCGCGCACTGCATTTCTATGATGCTGTTGATTGAACAAATTGAATAAATTCGTCAATTCCTGATGAAGCCGTATGAGCGAGAATTCAATTTATTCTTGTCTCATATACGGTTGTCTTATTTACTTCGTATATATGTATGTATTATGAAAATGAGATAGCAAAATGTGTATATTGATGGTCATCTTGCGAGTAATAACCATTAACTACTCTCATCGGGCTCTCATCCTTAATTTTTCTCTTCATTTTTTTTTTTTTGATGGTGAATTATTGGGGGGGGGGGGATGATTGTACAGGCCATCCCCCCACCTGAAATATTGGGGGGATATATCCCCCCCATCCCCCCCGGGATCGACACCCATGGTTCTGAATCATTTCGTCCTGTGAGAACTTCTGACCTATTTCATAATTTATTTGTGTGTACATGTAAATGTATGTCAAATTCCAAGACACTTCATGATGCATGACTATGAGAAAAATAACTATTGAAACTAATCATTTTACCGTCAGGGTTCCAAACTCTCAATGCCTGCTCCGGTGGAGGAGGAGGTGGAGGAGGTGGAGGAGGAGGAGGAGGAGGAGATGGAGGCTACCAGCCGACAGAACGACCCGAGCTCACCATTCATCCTACAGCCCTCTATATTGTGTCCAATCCTTGCGGTTCGATTACTATTCCCGGTGTTGAGACCATTCGACTGGTTCCTGGTCCCATGCCGGACATGCCCAACTCGACCCCAGGTATTTCGAGATCACGAGTGTGTCAACTGCCTGGTAAGTGCTCAGAAGAACACGACCACCCCCCCCCCCCCCCCCCCTAGCTCTTTTTTAAAAATTTCTTGTAAAGCTATAAAATCGTTCAAGTGATGTCGGCAATTGAAACCAAATTATTTTTTCCTCTTCCATGTTGACAAATTGATTACTCCTATTTGGAAATGTGAAAGTCTGGTGATCATTTATATTTGTGTTGGAAATATCTGTGAAAACTGCCCCATGTCTTCTGTTTACGATGGGAAATCCGCCCATCCACTTATTATGAAAATAACCATGATAACCTGAGATATTTAAAAAATATTTACATGTTTTGGGCCCCGTCGTATAAAGAGTTGCGATCGATCCAAATTAATCGCAAGTCCTCTAATCAATCGCAAGTTTGCATTTTCCTATCTCTTAAGTACACAGTTGAGGTTGATATCAACTCTTTATATGACGGGGCCCTGATGTTGCCTTAGTCAGCTAGTAGTTTATAATAACCCTGCTACTTGTCACAGAATGATACTCATTTTAAACATTGTGTTTCTTTACTAATATATTGTTTTAGCTATGGCTGATTCATCATCTGGGATAACAGGCATCTCAACAACCGAGGCGCCGACCTCGACAACCATCTCGTCGACGTCAGTTTGGACTACGATGGCCACATTCGTAGGCTATTCGACGCCGCCAATGAATGAGACAACGACAATGTATGAGACAACGACACCTCTGAATATCTTCGGTAAGTGCTAGTTCTAGGAATGATACAACGAAGTACATATAATAGAGATTTTAATCTACAGTAAACTTCAGTCATCCTACATTTTCTTCGGCAATCGTGATGCCGGCTTCAGTTTTCCATAAGTACAGGGTCAGATTTAGGGATGCGCTTTGATTTTACGTTTGGTTTAGGCAGTTTTGGTTTGGGGTTTTAGGGAATCGCTTGGAGCGATTGTTGCTGGAGATTTGTCAAACCTATTGAGCTTTACCCTATAGGGCCTTCCCCCTCGGAAAACCTTGTCTATCTCCTCGGATCCCCGGGGGAAACAGTAGGACAGGGAATCTTTAGCTGTACTATCCTGTATTCTCTCCCGATCACTTACGTTTCTCAAAAATTGCCGTCAGTTTTTTATGTTGATGCTCTAAGAATACACTTCAAACATCGTGACCCTGTTTGTCCAGGAAATCGCCCAAGAAAGATGCAGGAAAATAATGCAAGTGGTCAGATGGAACGAAACTGTTCTTTCAACAACTATGTTGGACTTCCACAAGCTAGGCGTCATGTTAAATTAAGACCAGAATGCCTTGAATATATTTCCCCTTTTCACAGGCGAAGGTATGCAAATGTTCGTCCTGGACAATGTAAACCGGGCAATCTTCTATGGTGGTGGGGATCTCCAGTTTTCGACCCTGTTCACCTTCCCCGAGCACGAGGATCCCACGGGGGTCACAATAGACACTTCTGGTTTCCGGGTGTTCTGGACAGATCTGAAGACCGACCTAATCCACGGAGCGTCCCTTTATGGTACACACCCTAGGATATATTCTGTGGGATTGTACAAAGGTATGTGGTCTATGAAGATTGGGGAAGGTTGATTTTAGAGCACTTAAAGATGAAGTTGAGTTCTGGTCATGAGATTGCATTGTGAAAGAAACGGTGTGGAATCGACCACAAAAGGTTGATCATCTAGCACATAAGAATTTGTGTGTATTGCAAGGTTCTGGAATCATCAAAATAATAAGAAATTGGCCAAGTCTTGGTAAAGTTACAAACACTGTACACAGAAAGATGTATATGGGACTATACGAACACGTGACGTAAACATCCTACCCCGGATTTTTACGATGTTACATGCCAAATTTAGAGTATGAAGGCATTTGAAGAGCCATGCTTTTCAGGGATACCGGCGCTATATAAATATCCATATTATTATTATTATTATTATTATCTGATGTTCTTCCACACTTGCATATTAAGAATGATAACGCTCAGAAATTATTTTTCACCTCTTCCCAAAACTCAACCTGCTCTTAAAGAATGTTTTAGAATGAGCGCAAATTAAACAAATAAGTTATTCAATCTAACTGACAATCACATCCACTGCACACGGAAATTGGAACATGGGACTACACAATATACGAAAGTTTGGTCTTAAACTTTCAACTGTTTCGCTTCATATTTCAAATATAAGGGCGTTCAAAAAGCAATCATTTTCAGGGGATTTTGCTACTAAAGTAATATTCCATACTGACATGAAAATAACTCAATATAAACTTTAAAGGAATTCTTTATGAATGCTTTTTGTTGTTGATGACAATGATGATGATGATGATGATGACGATGATAGTAATGTGATGACGATTAATTGTTTTACCTGATTGCAAAGAGAAAATAAAACGTCTCTTAAAAAAATGACCGATTGAACGATATCTTATTGTGTTTCTGGACGAGCAAACAGTCAACTACGGTGTATGTAAATGTAGAGTGCTTAACCTACGCACGAATACACAAAGAACGTTATATCAGACCATGTTGGGCATTCGTGGCCCTTGTTGAAAAAATGTTTCATTTACTGTTATATCACTATGCTTTCAAAAAAACTATTACTAACAAATTGTTTTAAATGCCTATTCTGGTAGGAAATACTCGACCATTATTTAGGCATGGTATAGTTTGAAAAGCTTCTTTGGTTAATATGATACAAGAATATGTTTCCACCCACTACCGTGACAAAGCTACATTGTTGTTGATGACGTCATATTCTACTCCTGCTATTCTTTCCATGTATTACCTCTAGAACCTGTCAGCATATCGCTGGTGCAGTCTAGCGGAATGGTGTACTGTGCCTACTCCAAGTCAAATAAGATCACCAGACTCCATCTGGGCTATCCGAGCTGCGAAACGGACCTTATTACGAATACACCAAATCCGAGAGCAATTGCTATTGACGTATCGGGATGGTTAGCACCTTTGAATTTTCGATTCTTTTAACCGCCACCATGGTTTATTTAAGATAGGCCTATATCATAAAAAGAGATAGGACGAGTCTATTTAGAAGTATCGTGGTAGATAACAAAATGGAATCTTTTTATTAAAGCACCCTGTTTCACTTGAAGCTAATAGACTCAGAGCTTTTTCCTTGTTGTCTGGTTCCGGGTGTTTGCTGGCTCTAACCATGACACAGGAATGTCCACTATTTTGTCTAGATACAATAAACGTTTATCCGTTTTGTAGTAAACTGGGGATTTTCTTTGGGCGCAATCTAGAATTGTCATACGAAAGAAAGAAACTAATATTATTCGTATAGAATAAATCAGTGTCATAAACATTTCTAGGCAGCGCAGCACCGATCAGCGTGGCTCAAAGATCATGCATATCGACTGATGCGGGACTTACCGCGTTACCCGAGGAAATCCAATGTCCTCCATAAACGGATTTTGTTTTCCTATTTGCTTTTATTATATTTTTTAATTCAGGTACTTATACTGGTCACGTGACGGTGGCATTGACAGAATAAACCTCTCTTCCTCAAGGCGACAGACTATCTACCAGAACCCTGATTTTATGAACATCACAGGACTTGCCATTGACTCTTTAGGTAAATGACAGTTTGTTTTCTTCCCATTTTTCCCGGGGGTATATAACGTTTTGACCGGGGGGTACAATCCGCAGAACAATGACAAACTACACATGAACAGAAACAAGAACGGAAGAGGAAATTCAGATTATAAAGTCTGCCAGCTAGGGTAAAAGACATGTTGATTTTTTTTTTTTGATTTTTTTTTTTTTTTACGTGGCCGACAAATCAAAAACGACAGATCAAAAACGACAGATCGAAAACAAATAAAGCTGACGAACTTCCTTTACATATTTGGATGTCCGAAATGAACTTTAGAATTTGGATCTCATCCCAATATTTTATGACCTTTCTGCTCGCATTTAATTAAATGATCATCATTTAGATTTTCACTTTCAATCCATTCTTAACAAAAGTGCTGAACAATAATGACTTCTATAGGGTAACCATAGCTTTTACAGGTACAATGAGGTGAACTGACTTTCCTTTTCTATCTGAGCTCGGGCATACCACTATGAAACACGTAATACGAGTCCGGGATTGGATGGATACGACATCACTCCATCATCTTATTCTTAAACCCCAAATATCTTTGTCCCAATATTATGTTAGTTGTATTCCTACGTAAAGATTGATAATAGGTATGTACATTTTATTTTGTAAATTGAATATTTTCAGCCCTTAGGCTGCATGTTCAATGGTTTTTTTTAATTATAATAAATCGATTCAACAGTCAATCAATCAATTTCACATTTTGTTCTCTTTCCAACATCAGGTCCGACTACACTCGTCGCCTTCTTCGACATTGACAAGCATCGCACGTTCTACATCGATCTCAGCGACCCGGACAACGTCGTCGAACTCACTACGTCTTTTCCTGCCAACGACTTCCTCCACGTGACTCAAATGAGCGTCTACGGCGGAGACATGTTTTGGACGAAGACCGGCGATTCCGCTGGTTCGAACGCAGGAGTCTATAGCATGACCAATTATACAAGCTCCCGCGATCTGAAGTTTAAGGAGGTTCCTTCCTTTAACCATCCAGTAGGGTTAGTTATTAGCAATTTTGAAAATTGAACTTTCGGTAGTTGTTAATGAATACGAAATTTGATAATTTACGATAATGACTATACGTGATCGATTCTCTTTTAGATTGTGCTTTGATGTTTGAAGTTTATACTTTGATGGAGTTACGCAAGTATGTCATAATATACCAGTTAAAGAATCTTTATATTGAACTTTTTTTAAAAGTGTGATTCGTTGAGGCTCGTTAAGACATGACGCGGCAAAATATGAATTATTATCATTATACAAATTATCATTATCAAGCGTGAATCATTATAATCATACAAGTTATAATTTGATAAACGCTCCAAATGCAAGCACCCGCACACCCACACACATGCACATGCACATTTTATGCCTTAAACAAATTATTTTCTTTGTTATGTGGCTGTTATAGTTGATATATTTCTGATTCTATATGTTATAAGTTTGGTTGCCCATGATAGGTTCATATCCTGAGGCCGCAATCACTCTCAAACTCTAGCTTAAAGATAAACTTGAGTTCTGGTAAATATAGAAACAAATTCTTACAGAATCCAACGAAATTAACACTGAATGTTCAAGATCACAAATTAATGACATGACGTGTCATTTAATTGTTTCGCACATGATGTGCAAAACAATTTTGAAAGAAAATGTATAGTGGCTGAGTAATGAGCATAGAAAGATAAGGACGTCCGGGTAAGTAGGCCCGACACCATGTGCTTATTAAACGCAGGTTACTACGAGCAAATGGGAGTTGTGGTTTTTATCGAAGATGATACCCAGAACGTTTGTGTGCGTTTGTATGTATTTCACTGGCTCGAACAACCAATCAACTGCTGGATAAACAATCCAGAGTAAACCATAGCAATTTTTTTCTCTAAATACGATTCCCATACCAGAGCTCAGGATTAGCTTTAAGACAGTGGTCTCCTGTCTTTATAAAATTTTGAAATGATTCGTCAACTATTTTGTGTTAAAGGTGTAATTATTTTAATGATTGTATTATGATATAATTATACATATATTCTGACTTTTTATTAATAATATATATGTACCTAGCTTGTATTTTACATTTTAGTATGTTGAAAAATGCTGTGTGGATTTTTATTTTCTATGATCAGGTAAAGTGTACTAAACAAGTTATTCTGAGAGATATCTTATTGCCTTCTTGCTCTTTGTCTAAATATTCCCCACCAAAGTATATGAGAGAGGTATAAACCAATATATATTTAGCACAATGTACAGTTTCTCAGCACGACATGGCACTATGAACAGAACAGACAGAGAAAGAGGACAAAATATACAGTTCCTCATTCTACCCTCAACAATTGCTATGGTAGACAAAGGAACATCCCTTCACTGCTATTATGTAAAAATGTGTAGAACAGGTGCAAATGCATGTGACACCTGTTCTACACAATTTTACATAATACTAGTGAAGGGATATTCCTTTGTCAACCACAGCAATTGTTAAGGGTAGAATGAGGAACTGTATATTTTGTCCTCTTTCTTTGTCTGTCATGTTCATAGTGTTTGGCATCACCCTTTTCTTTATCATCTGCAGAGTCGTTTATCAAGTAAATTAATTTAAATTTATGGATGCTTCGTTCCAAGGTATTTGTGGTGATTAGATATTTCATTCACCTGCTTTTAACATTTGTACTACAATTTTATTGTCAGAACGCAAATTGCATAATCAAATTGGCGCTTTTCTGGGGTAAGGGTTTCGCATTAAATGAAATAGATTTGTCAACTGCTATATTTTAGTATTTCTAAAATATATGAGTGACAATATTATTGTTCCCCTGTTATACATTTTCACCAAGTATATTTTGTTTCCTTTATGTCTTGATTGAAAAGTAAAGGTTATGTAAGGAAATGAAAAAATATTTCCAACTAAAGCTTGGTGCATTATACATGTACAAGTTCGCCTGGTACGTGATATTATCAAGAAAATGGTTGCGCCCATGTCATGCTAAACGGCATTACATTATGCCAAGAATATCCTTGTACACTTTCGATTGGAATATTGTAATATAATAATAATAATATTTAATTTTCATGTAGCGCTGAATACAAATGTCTCTAAGCGCTTTACAAATGTACTATTACCCCGGTCGTTGGATTCAGTGCTTACCCACACACAATGTGTGCAAAATCTCCACTCCCTCCACATCACAAGGTAGGAATACATCTCATCTTTCAGCATATCATCACTTATTTTGTGGTGTAAGGTTTTGTTTTACCACAGAGATCAGTGAATAAGTCTGTTATCCTTTGTCGCGCGCAGTTGCTAGTCATTTACATGTTTAAAAATAAACAGTAGCGGCTTTTTTACGACGGTTTACTGCGCCTCAGGTTCAAGGGTTGAAATAATTACAATCCAACCTGAATAAGAGAAGAACAACAAATTATTGGTGCCTTTTTCTTACATTTTTCTTTATCATGAAACGGTTTATTTAAACAATTATACATGTGCAAGAAAACATCATGAATAAAACTGAAGCTCTTTCTTTTAATTAGGAAATAAATATAAGTCAGTCTCAATTTATTTTTTCTATTTGTTCCGATAAAATGAATAGCATTACATATCTTGATAATAAGTATTAAAATAATTATTCTTATTATTCTATATTTCGTCTATTTAAGACTCGTTTACTAAGATTAAAGAGAGCCCAGGAAGAAATCTATTACTTGCAGGAAGCTGGACACTTCTAAACCGATACAGTGGTTTAAAGTTATATCCTAGGTCTTGAAATATTATCAGCCCGACTCCTTCATAACAGCGATTTATTCGTAAGAACGAAAACATTTCTAAATCTCTATTACTATTTAGTATTGTAATGTTTTTAAATATCATCAATACGACATATAAGACAATTAACTTTTGTCTCGCCAAAGTGGTAGTTTCTAATTTAGTTGAATACATACTAATTTTTATTAGAAATGGTACTGCACTCAGCAAAAAAGAAGGTCGACATTATTTATCGTTCAAAATTTTCATAAAAACCGTCAATGAAATATGATCAAATGTATATCAAATTAAAGAAAAAAATAATACTCTACCAACATTTATTATTATATCAAGTTTTGAACTAAGACGCTGATAATGGAAGGCACATTCATTTAACCATTAGAATGTATGATTTAAGCTACGGTCCAAAAGGTTCGTACGAATCTCCCTGTTTTTCCATGGTCTCCCCGAATTTCCATGGTCTGAAAATCTTTCGTACGGCGTTCGTAGCAGTTCGTAATGGCATTTGTGACCGAGGGTTAAGTAAATAGCAAGAATGTAGCAAGTAGCCATTCAAATGTTAATGAGCATTTGGATGTGTAAAACATTCTTGTTCAAAAAGGAAAACAATGAATAAGAAACAAAGAGGAAGATTGAGCTGTGGATGTCAACGGTAGTCTCAGGACTGCATGGTTTTGACAAGTACGTACGGTCACTCCTTCCCACTCGTGGACGAGCCATAGGATACCTCCAAATGACTATCAACATTTGAATGGCCAGATGCAGACCTATTTTGCAATTTTCTTTCAGAAACGTATTTATTGTTATATGGCTATCCTCACTCATGCATGAATGTCTTTGTTCCATATCATCTTTAAAGAGGATCGATTTATAATTATTTTGATTTATGAAAGTTTTATATTTAATATTTAGTATTCATTACATTAACGAAAGCTTGGTGTCCACTTACATTTTTTTTTTGCTGAGTGCAGTTCTCACATTGACACCTACCACGTCTTACTATCATGCCACGTGTTATGTTTGCCGTGAGCAGTATAGGGCCATGATTTCACCTAATGTAAGTTTATGGCGATAAAGATTTTTTGGAGTGGACTTAGCCTTTTAACAATATATTTCGCCCAAATGATTGGACTCTTTAAACGTTCTAAGAACGTCTTCGTGTTTTCTTTTTTCAGTTTTAATCTTGCAGCCACCTGTATCTTTGATATCACCTTCAATAATTGTGGATCCAAGGTTTCGAAATTTATGGGGCCCTGCCAAATAATAAGGAGTTGGCCAAAATGGAGGGCCCGGATGAAACTCTTGCCCTCTTCCTGACCTATATAAAAGTTTATTTATCTGCAAAATCATGTTTCCTTTCTTGTGAATTTGGCACAGTAACAGTTATAATATCAATTGTTATTAGAATGATTTTGTTAACCCAGGGAAGCATTCTCAATGACAATGCTGTTCTTCATGAGGGCCCTGCAAATAGTACTACCCCAGCAATAGCCAAGTACCCATTTACGCCTGGTTGGAGAGTTGCAAATATGGATTAATGTCAGGCTAAAGGACGTTAGTGGATTGAGAGTCAAGTGAATGAACTACTATACTACGACACTTCCACAGTAACAACGTGCATTCGGCGTGGCGCGGTGAATGCTGACGTCACATGTTGCATGTAAATCGGTGATGCATCGTAGTTATTGACTTCAAAAACACCCGTTGGGCTTATATTCAAGAAATATAGTTTGTCATTGAAGAAAGAGATGTCTATCGGCTCATATGAGCTGGATAGCTGGGAAATGGAGTTGGTATTCAAGTTTAAGATGTGCATTTTCTTCTGTCCACTGTCGGAGAAGAAGAGTCTTTGGCCTACAGCATAAAGAAGAGAAAATAAAGGCCATGTATGAAACCAGAACTGACCAGGATGGGATCTCTTTTCTAATCTTTTCCGCTTTGTTCTCAAGAAATGTATACCTGAATTCTCCCATCATATATTTTAGAAGAAGTGCTTTCATAGACGAGCATGCCCCCGAGGACGCACGCGCACACATTACACACACACACACACACGCACACACACACACATCCACACCACATATGAAAGAGATTTGTCAACTACTAGTACGACTTTTAAGAGAAACATCTTTGGCACTACAGGCGCCGCGGAATTTTTAGAACATGAGTTGCTCTGAGTTAGCAAATTATTTTTTTAATAATTTAATTTGTGTCATCCGTTTGTTAAAATATAAGTTTTCGGGAGCCAATAAAGGCTCCCCCCTCCCCTCTATCCCCCCCCCCCCTCTCTCTCTCTCTTTCTTTCTTCCTCTCCCTCCTAAAACCACTGCACTATTACCTGAGACATCGATAGAAAGTCCGTCTATATCTGAGAGATCATTATTAGTATAGACCGTCGTTTTACTGCTGCCATCCTTGTCTGCCTTGTCTATTCCCTTTTCACGTGTCCAATAAATGACGCTGGCCAATTATAAAACAAAGGGAGAAAACATGAAAAAGAGACTTGGAAGTAAGATATATCATAACAACAACAAATCGTGGGAGGAAAAAAGACACTGTTTGGACCAAAAAGAATTAATTGATGATGCAGATCGACCTAGTAGATGATGGGATGCGAATTTACAAATACGATTCATTTACTTGTTATATTTAATTGCTAAATTATAAATGAATGAACTAATGATATATAACTTCCTAATCGTATAAGCCATCGGAATTAATCAGATGTGGACACCGCACGTGAA